GGAGGGCAGGTGGGGATTGAGTGGCCTCAACTATGTGTCTAACGGCCTTGGGCTCCAGATGTCCCCAGGGGGACAGCCGCAATGCTGGAGGGAGACCAAGACCTCAGCAGGTCAAAATGAGACCTGTGGTCACGGTGCTCTGTTTCCATTGACTTGAGAGGCAGCCTTGAGCAAAAGGATTTGAAAAATCCCGAGAAAAAGTGCAGAACTAGCTATAATGTTTCCCCGGCTGCAGGGTTACTTGGACATAAGTCCCCGATGGGCTGTGGGACACCCAGCAGATGGACTGACAGACCTCTCTGCTTTGCTAAGCTCTGCACAAAGGCCATCGTCAATATTCAGAAGTTATTTTTATCTTCCCCCCCCTAGGTTTAGCTACACCACTCCAGAGGGTTAATCCGGTCCCCTGAACGGGGTGTCTGTTGTTAGAGGAGGTGGAGATGAAGATCTCTGGCTTTCCTGCACTTTATGGCCCGTGGGTAGCACTCGTGCTGGAGGGGAATGTTGCCTTGGACATCACACGGCCCCCTGCCCGGTGGGCTCTGTGCCCACCCAGCCTCCTCTGCACGCAGGGGGCTGCATCCTTTTCAGCCGGGCAAACAATTTGCCAAAACTTTAGAGCCACAACGCATCAGACAATCCCAAACGAGTACCCAGTGACACGGGCACCATGGCAGGGCCAGGAGCTGAGGGCACGACTCCTGCAGGAGGTAGATCAATCACCCAGGACCATCACCCCTTGTAGGTGAGACCTGGTCCTGCTCCAGGTCCCTGCACAACACTGGCATCCCAAGAAGTTGGTGGGACTTATGTTTCAGACTCTGAGACGCTCCTTGGAGGGATCAAACCTCCCTCATCTCCAGCATCATCACCAGTTCACAGCAGGGGTGGGAGCCCTGAGCACACAGAGGCAGAACCAGGTGCCCTCCCCCAAAATGGGAGGAAGGGAGGCTGGAGGCAGGGACGGCAAAGCTGTTTGGAGACCACCGTGCCATAATTACAGCCTGTTTGAAACGGAGCTGCTTCCTCCTCAGCCTGAACTTCATTAATTAAAGTGCTGAATGCAGAATGAATTAATTAAACCAATAACTATGCTGCTATTTTATTCATTTGCTGTTTGCTTTGATTGATTATATGACTGATTAATAAATATTGAATAAGTGTTAATTAAGTGAATTAATTCATTGCTGGTTTATTCACCTATCAGTTACCTATCCCTCACCTCCATGCATGAGTTGTGTCCTGAAAGTTTGTCCCAAGGAGCAGGTCCCCAGAGGTTCAGCCATGGGCAGCGGGGATGGGATGGGGGACAGGGTCACTTACCGAAAGGCAGGACGAAGAAGAAGGGGAACCAGCAGAGGATGAAAACACCCACGACAATGGCGAGAGTCTTGGCTGCTTTTTTCTCACGGGAGAACTTGAGGAGCCGCACGGAGAGGGAGCTCCTGAAGTTGTGCCCCTTGCTCCGGGTGCTGGAGAGAGGCTCCTCCAGCACGCTGCGGCAGTGGATGCGCAGTACCACTTCCATGGATTTATTCCTCTCCTTCTTGACCCCTGCCTCCAAGCTCCGGGTGGTCCGCCTGGCCACCACATAGATCCTGAAGTACATCACCAGGATGACCATGAGGGGCAGGTAGAAGGAGAAGAGGGAAGAGAACAAGGCATAGCCCGGCTCCTCTGTGATGCTACAGATGCTCTCATCTGGCGGTGGCGGCTCCTTCCACCCCAGCAGTGGCCCGATGGAGATGACCATGGACGAGAGCCAGACCACCACGAGGATGACCCCCGCCTTCCTCTCCGTCATGATTGTGGGGTACTTGAGGGAGTACTTGACGCCGATGTACCTGTCCACGGAGATGATACACAGGCTCATGATGGAGGCAGAGCAGCACAGCACGTCCACTGCTGCCCAGATGTTGCAGAAGATGCGCCCAAACACCCAGAAGCCCAGCACCTCCAAGGTGGCCGAGAAGGGCAGCACGGTGGTGCTGAGCAGCAGGTCGGCGATGGCCAGGTTGACGATGAAGTAGTTGGTGACTGTCTGCAGGTGCCGGTTGCAAGCCACCGAGAGGATGACG